AGCAACTGACACTGGGAACTAACTGCAAAGTCAAGTAAGGCTAGAATGGAATGGAGTGTTAAAGATTTCCTTTTTAAAATTCAATGGACATGCACACCCCAAGTCAATGACCAGTGCATGATGTATTTCAGTCATGGAAAACAGGAAATGAATTAATGGGTGTCAGAACACAGATTAAGAGGCCAACACCCCAGATCCAACAGTCCTGCAAACTGGCAAAATTTATCCCTGAAGGAGTTCTTGGAGACTCCTGAGGTCTGCTCCTGAATGCTTTTTTTTTTTCACTACAAACTACCACATCAAATATTTGCCCTTTATAGTTGATTCTTTATTTTATAACTAAAGGTCTGATGCACAAAATTCATGCAAGGGCTCAGCCCTCCCAGCCCCTCGCAGCCCCACCTTCATCTGGAAGGTTGTCTGGAAGGTTGTTCAGCTGTTCAGTCTAATTAGCATATTAGCTCTTTATTATATAGGATATGTTATTATTGTTGTTATTTCATTATTGTTATTATTTTGTGACAAATCTAGAGATAGATATTGAAGGTTTTGATCATTTTCACATCTTCTTTAGTTGAAAGGAATAAATTATATTAGTATAATAGAATAGATTTAGGGAAGGAATGTTAAATTTAAAGTATGCATAGGTTTTTCATACAGGAGAAAGAGGAGTTGAGGTTGTGGAAAGCTATGATAAAATTATAGACACCAAAAAATCCTAACAGCACAACAAGAATTTATGGTCTGGTCCCTGCCCCTTTCTCCACTCCATCTCCTCCCATGTAAGGCTGTCTTCATGGGCCTGTGACCCACAGGACCACATACTTGGTTTAATGCTCTGTTGTTGCCATTCTGAAATTCTCAATTTCATCTTTGAGTTTTTGTGTTGTGAAGTCCAGTGGGACAATAGAAGTCCATGCTCACAAGCAAGAGAAATACGTGCAACATATGAACCCACCATTCCTTGATGCTTGTTTCCTATACCCTATGGCACAAAATTCCACTGGATTCATGATTATGTGGGAGTTTAGTGAGGCTCAAAGTGAATTCTAACTGCAGTGAAGTAAGGCTAGAATGGAATGGAGTGTTAAAGTGTGCTGTATCTACAACTGAGTAAATAGAGAGTGCTGACAACATCCAGAGGCCATCTTAAAACAAAACAAAAACAATGACAAGAACAACAAAAAAGACTATACTTCCTTTGCAGAAAAAGGCAATAGCATTCTAAGAAATACAAAGGACCAAGGGACCCTATTATATCCTTTCTTACTCTTACTCCCCTGCATTAGCCAATCTCTTACACGGAAAGAGATGATATAGAGGGGAAGGGAAAGATATGGCAGCCTATAGTTCCTTTCTACTTAGTCCTTATTCCTTACCCATCAATAAAAGCTGAAAGCAAAGAGTATTGGAAAAATGTCTTTGTATCAAGAAGATTAATAAAAAATATTGAGTTAGTTTTGAACACCATTTCTACTGTTCTGGTAAGAATAAAATGCATGTGTGTATGAACTATGAAATACAAGTTGTGTAATTTTGGTGATTCTGCCTATAAATAAATGCTTTTATATTTGCATTCAAAAAGTGGCATTGTCCAATATAAAATAAATGGAAATTTTTATGGTAATGATTTAATACTATAACTTAAAAATTTTAAGTTAGAATGATACTAAATAAGTAAAAAAAATCATGACAAATCAAAAGAGATGATGAAACAAAGAAAAAGATCTTATCTGTTAGGACCTTTAATGACACCTTTTTCTGCCTTTTGAATAAGGAGCCACAATTTTATATTCAATAGGCCTTACAAAATGACTCTGCTTCCTGCTTCCTCTTTCTCCTTTGACCACTACACGAAATCTTTTCTTTTTTTTTTAACAACTCCATAGTTCTTTCTTGCCTCTAGTCCTTTCACCAAAACTTTCCTTCTGCTAGACCAGGTTCCTCACAACCCTTCACCTTAGGTCAGCTTCCTTCCCACTGAGTGAAGCTCACACTGTTCTCTATCACTATTAATTCTTTAATATACTTTTCCCCAAAAAATCATCTCCCCTATTACATTGTAAACTCCCTCGGGAAAAGGCCTATAATCTGTTTTTTTACTAATGTGTACTCATATGGACAGAGTAGGCAACCAATTAGTATTTGTTGCATGAATAAATTAATTAATGGAAGTGAATTAAAAGAACTTTGTACTTGAATAATGTGGGATATAACATGTTATCCCAGAGAAATGTTATTTTACAGATTGGCTGTCTTTCAGGAGGGATACAAAAAAAGTACAAGACACCTAATTAAACATAAATTTTTATTTGCTATATCCTGTATCTTATTCTGTCTTCATTAGTTCACCCTGGCAACCTTACCCTAAAAAAACACTTGTGAAAAGTTTTGAGTCTTTATTTTTATTTCTTTAATATTTTTATTGATGAGAGAGAGAGAGAGAGAGAGAGAGAGAGAGAGAGAGAGAGAGGGAGAGAGACAGAGAGAGGAAAAAACATTGACTAAGGAGAGAAAACATCCATCGACTGCCTCCTGCATGACCCCTGCCGGGGCATGTGCCCTGACAAGGATGATGCTCAATCAACTGAGCCATACCAGGAAGGGAAGGTTTTATGCTTTAAATAAAGTGTGACTATAATACTAGCACAGTGTGGTAGTTTAAACCTTGCTTTAGTTATAAACTTACTTAGAGATCTGATGAAAACAATACATTATTTCCCCCAGAAAAATGTGTTTTCCTTTCTGGAGGAAGGTTTACAGACTTTCTAAAACCCATTCTTGATCAGCCCCTACTCTCACAGTTCCACATCTAATTGATTTTAAAATCTCCTAAATATGCCAGGACCACTTAGTTCAAGGCATAATTTGTCATTTAAATGAATATAGTGGCTTCTTAGAGCTTACCCCCTTTAATTCACTTTCACATAGCTTCCAGACTAGAGATTTCTCTCTAACATGCATTGATCATTCCTCTCCCCTATTTAATATTATCACATTACCCACAAAAAAGTCTTTACAATGACATAGTAAATTTTAACTCTTGCCTCCTTCCTTTCTATTTCATTTGTGATGGATCATTTGTAATTCCCCAATTCTACTATGCTGCTTTATAACTCTATTTGATGAACATACTATTTGCTAAACCTGCTATATTGCTTAGGGGAGAAATATTTTTTCCTTGATATTTTAAGGTCCCTGGCTTGGTCTGAAAATTGGACTGACAAAGACAGATAGAGTAACAAGAAAAAGCATACAGATTTATTTAATATCAATTTTAGCCCTAGCTGGTTTGGCTCAGTGGATAGAGTGTTGACCTGCAGACCAAAAAGTCCCGGGTTTGATTCTGGTCAAAGGCACATACCTTGGTTGCAGACTCCTACATGGCCCAGGCCCTGATCAAGGATCATGCAGGAGACAACAAATCAATGTTTTTCTCACATCAATATTTCTCTCTGTCTTTTACTCTCTCTTTCACTCTCTTTAAAAAAGAAAAATCAATGGAAAAATATCCTCAGGTGAGGATTAACAAAAAAATAAAAATAAATTTGACATGACATGGGAACCTTCATAAGAAAATAAAGACCTGAAGTAACGGGACTAATTATTTTTATGCTAGGTTTGAGGGTGAGTCAACTATGGTAGAAATATGATAGGTTAAGGATTATGAGTCAATGTTGTAAACTGAAGAAACTTAGTGGGTTTGCTTGTCAGGATTCTCAGCACCCCTCTGTAAAGATAAGGATGCTCTTTTTCATGTGCTACAGAGAGGGCACCTCTGTCATGAAGTGTTTTGGGGAGAAGGATGGGAAAAGGTCAGAATGGCCTTCCTGCTTCGGCCATTTCCTCAAACTCCTTCAACTTAAAATGTTCACTGTGTCAAGATGCCATATTTTGGGGTAGCATTTCTTGAGTCCCACCATTCTGCCAAGCAGCCATTTCTCTGTGAAGCTTTGCCTGAATCCCCTCCTCACCTTTCCCTCCACCTAAGTTTACTTGGTTAATAAATGCACCAAACAATAAGGATTGTTTACTCATCAGTGGTTTTCTGTAATCCCTGTACCGCTTGGAGCAATGACTCTCTTCAGCTTTGTATCTGTATTACTTGCACAGTGGCTAACATAATGTTACTCAAAGTTTTAATAAATAAATAAATATTTACAGGTATTTAATTACTGTCATTAGATACACCAAACCCACACACATTTTACCTTTTTGTTAACAAATCAAAAAGCAAAGATCTAGAGAGACAAAATGGTGGCAGAACAGGTAAATGTGTCCCAAGCCTTCTCCTGGAGCAGATAGAAGGAACAACTAAATCAAATAAAATCCACCGCAAATTGGTGAAGTAGACACAGCTGGTGAGACAATTCACAGCAAGGAAGGGCAGAGGATGCCTGGAGAATGGTAAAATCAGGGATCTGGGCTGGAGAGAATTCTGAGACCTCTAAGCCCAGAGGGTCAGAAGGAAGCTGCACAGCACCAAGGCAGCATTCCTTGGGACAGGTGTAACATCTCACTGTGGAAAGGAAGTCCACAGGGCTGCTGGTGGCAGGGGATTCTAGATCTGAGCCCACAGCCAGAAAAGGTTGAGCCCAGATGGGACATTCTGAACAACTGCCCAAGCCCACTGTGCTGGGGAGACAGAAACTCACAGTGGCACAGCTCTTTCCCCTCTTTTTGGTCTTTGTTTTATTTGCTAAACCCAGCTCATAGGACCTTTCAAATACAAACGCTCACCCATGGCTGAGATGCAGGTAGAGGTGTGGACTTGTGAAGTCTGGGGAGAGGCTGGGGAGAAGAGCAGGTTGGGGAGAGATGGTTGGCAGGTTGGCACTGAGACATACCTGACACTCTGGATCTAGTCAGGCATTTTCTCCTGAACAAGATGCCCCTACCTGCAATCTCCAGACAACAAATACAGCCACACCCAGACTACACCCTGAGTGTTACAAAGGATACAAAAAAAATCTGAATAGTCCCTGAGAGCCCTCAGGGACTGGACTAAAGAGAGGCCATTCAGTCCCAGAAAGCCATACGGCAAACTCCCCAACTATAGCCCTGTCAGAAACAGCTGCTTGAAAAATTAAGATTGAAAGCGGGCAGACAGGATAAGTGGGAAGATTGGTCCTGCCAACTGGCAGTCAAGGCTGTGAAGACAGACACAAACAGAGGAGTGGTGGAATGCTTGGAACTTCAACAATCTAACAGGAAACTGAGAAGTGGCAGACAATATAGAAGAGTGGGATCTTAAGCCAACCCCCATGGGGCATTAAAACTCAGCAGAAATGGAGAATCACTAACAGAGGAGATCCGGAAAGATGGCGACTGTGAAGTATGGTAGCTACCATCTATAGTTTAACTTTAACCCTACTGTTTGGCTTATGTACCTATTTGCTTTGTTTAACAATGGACAGGCTATTTTGATTTTCTGAATTGCATA